GCTGCACATGCATGTTTGTTGCTGCACTATTCACAACAGCAAAAACATGGAACCAACCCTACTGCCCATCAAAAGTAGACTGGATAAAAGAAATGTGTTACATATACAAGATGGAATATTACATAGCCATAAAGGACAAAATCATGGACTTCTCAGCAAATTGGATGGAGTTGGAGACAATCATTCTTAGTGATCACAGAAACAAAAAACTGAATACCACATGTTCTCACTCATAAATGGGACCTAAACATTAATCACAATAGCACAAGGGAGGGATCAGTAGTCACGGGATGCTGCCAGGGGAGGGAGTTGGGGGGGGAAATGAAACAACACAAATGGTACCTGATCTTAAACCAGGGAAAGTTAAGGACCAGTTGGAGGTCCAAACTTCACCTGCATATGGATTACTTATGTACCTAATCCTTACTTGTACTCCACATCTTTATTTTAAAAAATAAAGAAAATAAATAAATAACAAAAATTTTAAAAGGCCAAAGTAGAGATATCCAGAATACAACAAACTAAAGAAAATGGCTTCAAACCTTTGAAAATTGCCTGTTATTTCCAATTTATAAAAGAATTGTGTTTCTAAGGATTTATATTTAAGTCTAAAATGTGTATTCTCATAGATACAATACTATTAAAATGAAAACTAGTTATCAAGCAAACCTCCAAACATCTAATTAACCTGTAATATATACCTACACTATCAATGTCACCTAATCAAATTCAAATGTTTTTCACATAGGAAAATGTATTCTACGTTCCAACTAAAGAAACCAAAACACACATTTTCGTTTATTTTAAAAAACGACACAAGGTAATGGTATGGGGGCTCTACTAGGAAATTCCAATATGGGTGTCAAAGAAGAGAAAGAAGTTGATTCCTGCAAGACACCTGTAGGTGGCCAGCTCAACATCACATGAGATGAGTCACTTCCCCAAGCCAATCTCTATTAAGAAGTTCAGATTTGGGAAAAATAGAGAACAGACCCTCTGCCAGAGGCCAAAATGCGAACTGGAGTTACATTTCTGCATTTTGAGAGCTCAAGAGTAGAATCCACCTCAGACCTGCACCCAGATGAGGACACATATTTTAGAAGAGGTAGGGTGACTACCCACAATCTGTAAGTATCAGCCTTACGATCCTTGCTCTAAGGCTAACCTATCAAAAAAGGAGAATGATCTGTTTTATTCACACTCTATCCCCTAAGGACACATGAAACATACAATATAGAGATTTCATTTATTGCAGGAGGAACTCAGGTTTCTTTTTTAGAAAACTTCAGAATAGACACATTAGCAAACACTAGTATAAGGGACTTACAAAATATAAATTATAAAATATCATTCCTAATGAATGTCTACAATAAAATCAACAACCATCAGTTTGAACAGTTTAGATTACTTTCTACTAAAAGCTAAGATAATAGAAAACAAAACAAATATTCAGAAGAACTAAAATTCTATAATGTTGGCAAAGTTATCATTTTCAAATAAAAACATTTAACGATTTTTCTTTTAAGTGTTACATACTACCACCAGTTTTCCAGACTGGCTCTGGAATCTAACAAATTCTGCACTTTAAAACCTTTAATAAGTAGGGTCTTTTCCTTTTCTAACACTGTAGGTTTACAGCGAGATTTACTGGACTATTACAGCAATAAGAGGGCTTTTCAAAAAGTAATGGCTTGTTTAGGCTCAGAATGAAGTAAAAGCATTAAACAAATATCTACCACATCCCCAAAACTGGATAATTAAGGGAGCTCTCATTCACTCTGAAAATAAAATGAATAATACCTCCCCTATGCCCATGTGCCGGTCTATCTACACTGGACACACCTTCAAACATACACCTGTTTTCTACTAGTTTAAAGAACTGTTTTGCTAACCTGAAGAGTGTCAATGTACAAATATTAGCCAGTTCCACTCTGAAAACCTTGCTAGTAAATGCTGATTAAATAAATAGATGGCTTGCTAACGGTTGGCTGCTAACGTTTTGTCAAGTCAATCAATTAAGATATAAAAAAAATCCTTTGTGAAAATTGCCAAGGTAAAATAGATACTGTATAAATGCCATTAAGAATGAAAGTGGTGGTAGTTGGTGAACTCCTGGGGCTCATTCCCTCTCGCTTATGCACTCTAACACCTACACAGGACTAACTTATCCAGGATAAATAACCTCTATTCCTTCTCCTTGCTATCCCCCTAAGAGACAATATACATTTTAAAACTCTGCTGTTTGCTTCTTACACCACAGGAACCCAAAGACAAACCATCTGAGATGCCCGCTAAATACAGTATATCTGAGGTTACTACCAGATACCCCTCTCTGCACAGGACAAGTCCCTCAAACAAGCTCAGCATACAACCAAGAACATGCGCTCGCCGAACTCACCTAACACATTCTATTAGCATCAACAAAGTCTACCTCATGATTTATTTATTACTTATCTCCATTTAAAGTGCATTTGCAAAAGTGCTCCTGTCAGAAAAATTACTATCAAAATTCAGATCGCCATTTTTTATCAAGGACATCTCAGAATAGAGACGTGAATGTCTACTCCTCAGTGCTGCTTCCTCCTCACACAAGCTTCCTAGGACACAATTCATTCATGGAGATTCCAGAATGTCCAGGAAATACACATCCTCAGACACTGTCCTGTACTTAAGGGTTCAACTGGCACTAAACCCAAAATAAACTTAGTAGAATATAAAGATAAAATTACTGGCATTCCCTGCTTCTGATATTACTGTCTGTGATGGTTAATTTTATGTGTCAACTTGGCTGGGCTGCAAAGCCCAGATATTTGGTCAAACTATTCTGAAATGTTTCTGTGAAAGTGTTTTTTGCTGAGTGTAGTGGCTCATGCCTTTAATCCCAACACTTTGGCAGGTTAAGGTGGGATGATCACTTGAGCAGAGGAGTAGCCTGGGTAACATGGCAAGACTCCGTCTCTATAAGAATTAAAAATAAAAAAATAGTCAAGCATGGTGGCATGCTGCTACTCGAGAAGCTGAGACAGGAGGACTGCCTGAGGCCAAAGGATGGAGGTTACAGTGAGCTATGGTCACACCACTGCACTCAGCCTGGGAAAACTCTGTTTCAAAAAAAAAGTACTTTTTTTGTAGAAATTAACATTTAGATTGATGAACTTTGAGTAACGCAGATTACCCTACATAATATGAACGGACCTCATTTAATCAGTAGATGGCCTTGATATAACAAAGAATGACTTCCTCTGAGCAAAACGAATTCCGTCAGCAGACTGCCTTTGGACACAAACTGACACTTTCCCCTGAGTCTCCAATCTGCCAGTCAACAGATTTTATATTCACTAAACCTCAACCACGGTGTAAGTTAATTCCTTAAAATGAATGAATTTCTCTCTCTTTCTCTACACACACACACACACACACACACACACACACACACATACATACACCCCCTATTGGTTCTAATTTTCTAAAGAACTCAAATACATTATCCAAAAGTAGTAAGACTTTATCTTGAAATATATTAAAAAGATATATATCTTAGTTGAAGATAAATAATATTAACTAAACCAACAATGAGTCTAAGAAAAGGCAGTCAAATTCCAGATGTTCTTTACCAATAGTTTTGCTTAATTTTCTAAAAGACTATAGTTGTAGGGGACACAACTATATCCAAGTAAGAGACAGTAATTTGTTTTCCCATACCCCCAAAAAGTGCCTAAGACTAAAAGTCAAGATGAAAAATTAAAATAATCATTAGTATCTCTGCAAATGTACAAAAATAAGTCAGTCCATACACAGACACACACAAATGTATTCATGTCAACTTTCTCTTAAACATTCATAAAGGATAGAATAAAAGCATAATTATTGACTGTCTTTTATAAATTACTACAGACCTTGGACCATTATTTGCATTACTTTTCTCCATTTCTGATAAGAAGTAAGAACAGTAATATGAAGTAATATAATCTTAAGAATGAGTGACCTGAATGGAACAAATTTCATTGCATAAAAGAATCATCTGATTTTCAGAATGCCAATTACTGGGGTTTCTTAAGACTCCCACATATGTTGTTAACACCGTAAAAGTGCCTGTATCAAAACAGCCTTGGTTGGAATTACTTTTTTATTGTTGCATATGAAAGGAAAGGAGAATAAAGGAGAAAAGGAGCCATCAGTGGAAGGTAGAGACAAGAGAAAATCAGATTTAACAGGAAACCTGAGAAATTTCAGTTCATCTTCTACAGCTGATACTTTATAAAGCTATCACTTTCTAAGTAGTGGTTCTCAAAGTGTGGTCCCCAGTTCAACAACATTAATAACACCCAGAAACCTGTTAGAAATGCACATTATTTGACCCCACCTCAGGCTTACTGAAGCAATCTCTGAAAAAGCAAACCAACAATCTGTGTTTTAACAAGCACTCCAGAATATTCTGATGTGCAATAAAGTTTAAGAACCAGTGATCTCCAGTAAAGTCAAACATCTTTAAATATAAGACAATTGAATCAAGAAATTCTAAAAACTGAGATGACAGAATTCTTACTATATCACGTGATCATGTGGAAGAAATGTATTATTAGCACTAGTCCTCCTTCAGTATAAGGCATTCATTCAAAAATGCTTGCCCAACACAATCTGATATGATTTAAGAATTTTCCAATTACCTAAAATTTCCAGTCCATTCATAAGGCTGCGTTGTGGTCACCAAACCACCGAGTCAATAGAAAAAGTTTTAGGATGGAAGATAATATATTCCCAGGCAAACTAACAGGCTGAGTACATCGTATTATAAATTGCTAAGCTTTGGATTAATTTTTTTAGTTATTCTAGTATATAGATATAATAAAAAAGGTCAGTATGTAGTATATAATATTTCTCTGAAGTTTCACTTCCCTATAAGAAAGCTTGACAAATCCTACCAAACAGGCAATTCCTCTGCCAATTTTATACAAGCTATTATAGGCATTAGCATTCCTTTATAGAGGGAAGACTAATACCTTTAAACTGCTTAATCATGTTCTGATGGTTTCCAATGGCTTCCTTCAAGATCATTTCAGGCTGGTCCATCTTCCACCGCCATTCAGTGCCCACAGGATTGGTGTGGTGCCTAGAAACAAGATGCAAAAGACTCCCTGTAATAAGATCTCAGCCAGTCATCTACCTTGAAGTAGTCCAAGAAAATCACAAAATCGGGGTTGGTTTCCTCCTGAGAACGCAAATGTTTATGGCAGTATTTTCCAGCTTATTTTAAGTCATGATACTTCACAGAGGGGTAGTTAGAGAAGCCATTCAACATCTCTACCCAGAGATGCTGGGCATCTAACTGAGTCATCTCCAGTTACAGGTTGACAGAACGCTTTCTGCTGCTTTTAATCATGTTAACTATGGACATACGCAAACACAAGGCAAGCTGTCCCCACCCCACGTTACTACCAAGTAAGCCAATAATTCATAAAGTGGGTGAGGACAGCTGGAACACTTCTGTTTGAGTACTACACAGAGAGGGCCTGAAAAAGAGTGCCTCTAGATACAGGTCCGGGCATAGGACAAGAAACTCCACCCAGAACCATCTCTCCTATGTCCTTCATAAAAATCAAAAAAGTAGGAAGGGATTGACCTTCAAGGAGATAAAGAGATTGGACATTTTGTTTCACTCTGCTCAACAGGAGAAAACTGCAGCCGTAGCCCCAGCCACATACTTTTTGCAATCAACAGAACTGAAAAAGTCACATGCTAAACAGCATGCTTAGACAGATAATGATGCTTATTTCTGTGACTCTCCTTTTTTATGCATTTTTATGGTTGATCAAGTTCCATTCATATGATACATTCTCTGTTAGGCTACTGTGGTTCATCTTGGAGGTTGGTCAGTCACTGGATCTCCTTGGGGTGACTCGGCATCCCTCACTCCAACATTTCCAAGGTTTGCTCTAAAATGCTACACAAAATGGAGGAATGTGAACGTTCTGAGAAAAGCTACATTCTGTGTTATCCTTTTAGAGAACCACTGAGTCTTCTCTGGTTGTTTTTTCTCTCTTATGTTCTTACTATCCTATCATGAATAACTATTTCCATTATTCATTTTATCTGGCTATTACCAGTCTTAAAATTATATTTTTGTATCATTACTTTGTGTCCAGTCACATTCCTAAATTCTCTTACAAATTTTAAGATTTTTCCAGTTATTTTTCTTAGCTTTCTCAAGCATGTAGTCATAGATTATGCTATAAATGACCCCTATACAATATTTTATTGCATTTCTATTTCATGCCCTTTCACTGGTCAGAATGTTCACAAAAATATCAAATAATAATGATGAAATTAATCACCCTTCTTAGATTCTAGTAGTCAATAAAAATGTTTCTAGTGCTATATCGTAAAATACGTTCACTCACACAAAACTAACAAATTATAAGTTAAAATAACATGTCTGTTCATTTATCAAACAGTTAAAGATTCAAAAGTATGTAATATTCAGTATTGGTAAGAATGGGAAAATATTCCCTCTCACACCGACACTGTTACAGAAAGAGGCCTGCCTTCTGGTACAGGCCTGGGAAAAGGACAAGAAATGCCAGTTGGAAGTTACTCTCCTATATCATTTACAGAACAAAAGCTTTAACCTGTGAGAGAACTGCAACAAACACTATATCACCCTTGAGCACAAGTGAAAACCCACAAACAGCTGAGGAAGGAAAAAAAGAAAAACCTGCCCTGCCTGGGGAAGGGAAGAAGCACATGCTAGATGCAGAAATGACCAGAGGGGCAGGAGTGTTGAGAAGACCATGTCCTCTGGAACCAATGACATAGTGACTAGCCAAGATTAAAGTTTAATCAGAACAATACAAAATGTGTACCCCTGTCCCCCAGTCCCCACCACGAGGCTAACAAACATCAGAACAACAGTGCAGTATTGCCAGAAGAGCTGCAAGATCACCTGATAGACCTTCCCTGAGAGGCAGTGCAATGGGAAGACTTGAAGCTTAGGATGGATCAGACACCGGGGGGGGGGGGGGGAATCTCTGACAAAGCAGCCCCCAAGGCAAACTCCTGAAGGAGTTTGAAGCAGGTGGTACACTGAGGGTAAGCCCAGAAACAACAAGCCTCAACTTGAGCCCAACTCTTGACTAGATTTACTCAACTCCAACAAGAAATGCTTAACAGAAGAAAAGGGGAGACCACTTCCAAACACCCATACACAAAATTCACCTCAGTCTTTAATGTCCTAAACTAGATGTCCAGCGTTAAACAAAAAAATTATGAAGCATACAAAAAGATAAGAAAAAGGACACACGTCCAACAGATAAAGCAATCGACAGAACCAAACTCGTATGATATAACATTGGAACTATTTGAGGAAATCTCTTAAAAACTATGATTAATATACTAAAAGTTACAATAGAAAAGACAGAAACATACAAGATCAGATGAGTAAATCAGCAGAGAGATGGAAATTATAAAACACAAGTAAATACAAAGCCTAAATATGAAACACAGGCTTCCAACAAGCTCATAAGTAGAAACAGCTAAGGAATGAATTTTTAAAAACTGGAGAGGCCAACACAAATAACTCAACCAAAATGCCTGTTGTTTAAGCCACAGTCTAGGGTATTCTGTTATAGCAGCCAGAATCAACTAACTTCTGCACCAATTAAAAGACAGATGGCCAGACTAGCTTAAAACACAAGACCCAACTATATGAAGCTAGATTTACTCTAATACAAAAATCAGATAAAGACATTACAAGAAAACTACACACCCACACCAACACCCCCCATGAACAGACAGAAATCTATAAATCAATCTAGCAAATTGAGTCTAGCAACATGTAAAAAGGAAAATGTGTCATATAGTTCAATACTCAAACTTGAACACTAACAGAATTTTAAAAATATGTATCTCAAGATGAAAAAGCATCTAACAAAATTAAATACCCATTCATGACATAAACTCTCAGAAAACTAAGAATAAAAGGGAATTTTCTAAACCTCCTGAAGGGGATCAATGAAAAACCTATAGCTAACATCAAACTTAATGGCAAAAGAATAAATGCTTTCCTCCAGAAATCTGGTGAAAGCGTCCTCTCTCACCACTCCTATTCAGCATATAAATTCTAATCAGTGAAATTAGGGAAGAAAAAGAAAGGAAGAAATAAAACTGTCTCTTTTTATAAATGACATGATTATCTACACAGAATATCCAAAATAACTCACCAAAAAAATAAATTAGAACTAGTAGGGGAGTCTAACAAATACACAAGATACATGGTCAATATACAAAAATCAATTGTCATTATATACTAGCGATGAAAAAGTATAACTTGAAACTTAAAAGTACAATTTGCGATAGCAACAAAAAATTATATAAGCAGATATAAATCTAAAAAACCATGTGTAAGATCTGTATACTGAAACTACAAGGAACTAATACAAGAACCTAAAGACCTGTCACAGATAGGAAGAAACTAAGGACACCTAACAACTAAATCCACAGAAGTAGAGAGCAAATTTGTGGTTACAATATGCTGGGAAGGGTCGGGGAAGGGTTAGGGAGAGATTGGCTACTCAAGACAAGTATAACTTATTTTAACAGCTTTATTGAGATATAATTCAGATACCATAAAATTCCCCCATTTAAAGTACACAAATCATTGGTTTTTAGTGTATTCAGATCTGTGCGTCCATCACCAAAATCAATTTTAAACATTTTATCATTCCCAAAAGAAACCCCACTTCCTTTAGCTATCATTCTCCAATCCCCATATTCCCTCCAGTCCTAGGCAACCACTAATACTCTCTGTCTCTACAGATTTGTCTATTTTGAGCGTTTCACAGAAATGCAATCATACTATATGTGGTCTTTTGTGATTGGCTTCTTTCACTTAGCATATTTTCAGTGTTCATCCATATCATAGCGTGTACAAGTACTTAATGTCTTTTTATTGCCAAAAATATTCCTTTAAATGGACACCATATTTTGCTTGTCCATTCATCAGCAAATGGGCATTTGGGGTATTTCTACTTTTGGGATATTATGAATATCTTTTCATGTGTTTCTTGGCCATTTGTATATCTTCTTTGGAGACCTGCCCATTAAGAGTCTTTGTTCACTTTTAAAAATTGGGTATTTGTTCAAGATAAATATAAACCTTAATTTGAAATTTCAAATAAGAAAATTGTCACTTAAAGAAACAAAAGTAAGAGATACACAATGGCGAATCTGTGATATCTATACATATAATACCCAATATATTTTTCTGAAAATTAGTGGAATATTGTATTATCCATAACAATCTACTTCACATATTATCAAAATGAAGTAAAAAATTCATTGTGAAAAATTCACATCTGTTTATATCATATTGTATTTGAAAAACACTGTCATATACACAATCTCACTTAAGCAATTTAAAAAGCAATACCTTCTTTACAGGGTAGGAAACTGAGGCTTGGGGACTATTTTAAGAATATTCTAAAAGGAAAAAATAATAAAACATTTATGTAAGCATTTAAATCAATTTTTAATGGGACTTTTCTGACATGCTTGTTATATTATTCTAAATTGAAACAGATGGTGAATTCTAATTTTAAAAGTTAGTATATTAGTACTTCTTTACCAAAAGCCATAGTAAGTGAAATCTCTCCTTGTACTTAGATATTTTTAAATCTCATTAATGAATTTGTTAAGCATATCTTTTACTTTTTAAAAATCTGAGTAAATTTACTGCTCAAGAAACTGAAGGACTGCATTACTGGATATAAACAGGTCATCAAGGCTTAAGAACATATCCCACTATGTCCTGCTATTTCTTTTGAACCTTGACTTGCAAAAAAATAACTATTCTGTCAATCTTAAGAAGCAATTGGGAATTATACTTAGTGTAAAATGTGAAACAATGAGAACTAGGACACAAAGCACTTGATTATTTCTTCTACAACCTAAGTAAATGTGACCCAGATATTTTAGTTTACATAATCTTACGGCTAACATGCTTTTGTTTTCCAAGTACTCACCCTATAATATTTCAAATTTTGTAGATACATACTCTACCCCTAAAAATATTTATTAGTCACATTTTAGTTCAGTGCTGCCATGTTTCAGTGATCTCCTTCACTGAAATAGTATCTGTGGACCATGGTATACAGGTTATCGCAACCTCAGCACAATGGCCATTTTGAACTAGACAATTCTTTTTTGCGGAGAGCTGCTCTGTGTATTATCAGATGTTGCTGATGTGTTATGGAATGTGCTAGGGAATGCTTAGCAACATTTCTGGCCTCTGCCCACTAGAATCCAGTGGCACTCTCCTCAGCTGCAACAATCAAAAATGTCACCAGATGTCATTAAATGTTCCAAGTCTCCCTATGGAGTGAAAAATAGCGATTTTTGTTCCTAGTTGAGAATCACTGGCTTAGCAGGATGTCCAAAGAAATACTTTTAGTTTTTTCACCACATTGCTAGATAACAAGGAAATATATGTAAAAAGAAAACAAAAACAATAAGGGATTATGGAATTATGACTATATTCTTTTCTGCAAGGCCTTATTTTTACATTCTACATTATCTGTCAACTGAAGTATATACATAACAAACAATATGACAACTAGGATTTGTATCAAAATAATGAGGACTAAGGGAGTTAAATGGTATATGACTGTCCATATGGTGATAAACCTACAGAGGCTCATTATACTATTTCTACTTATATTTTTTTAAAACTCCCTAATAAAAAGTTGAGGAAAAAGAAGGAGGAGGAGAAGGAGGAGGAGGAGAAGGAGGAGGAGGAAAATTAGCAGCTGATATAGATCTCAATCGGTAATGAACAACCTGATGCTGACTAGGTCAAAAGATTACAGTTGAGGCAAGCAATAAACAGCTGAATGCCTGGGAGGACAAATCAGTCCAGAGATTATCTGGTGAATTAGGGCACTGAAAAGCACTTATATATCTGAGAATTCGGAAAGCTTCACACAGGACAGGAGGCATGTTAAGAAAAGGCCAGAAAAGACTCTACACTTTCATCTATGCCTGAACTTTAGGCTCAGCACAAGCAGGATGTGAAGACTAAGGGAGAGCTGTAAATGGACTGGCTAAACTCTAAAAGAATGCAAAGTCAATCTGCAAAGACAGAGAGAAGTTTCAGCCAAAAAACAGTGTCTTTACAAATACAGTTTAGAAAACAAACTCACTAAACAAAGAAAACCCAGAGCAAGCAATAAAAACAAACTCAGAGTAAGAAAAATCTGGTTTCCAGAGTTAATGCATTATAATAATAAAAATATGCAATTTTCAACAAAATATCGCAGAGCATGCAAAGAAACAAGAAAAGTACAGCCCATTCACAGACGATATTAACAAAAATGCTCCCTGAGGAAACACAGACATCAGACCTACTAGGAAAAAAACTTTACATGCTCAAAGAGCTAAAGAAAAACATAAACAAAGAGCTAAAGGAAACCTAAAAAACAATGTCCCAACAAATAGAGGAAATCAATTAAGAGATATAAATGATCAAAAAGAACCAAACAGAAGTTCTAAAGCTAGAAAGAATAATAATCGAAATGAAAAATTCACTAAAGGGATTCAATAGAAGACAAAAAAAAAAATTAAATTGAAGACAAATTAATTTGAAATTATGTAGTCTAAGGAGAAAAAAAAGTGTAAAGAAAATTGAACAGAAACTTCCAGGGCGGAAGGGGTGGGATTGACAGTTGAGGGAAACTGCCAGGGGAGGGAGGGACACACCTCATCAACAAAGGTACCTGCATAATGAACACTTGTATACCTAACCCTGAACTGTACCCCACATCTTTAAGATAAAAAAAATTTAAAAAAAAAGAAAATTGAACAGAGTTTTAGAGCACTATCAAATTGAACAAAGCTGTGGGAGAACATCAAGCATATCAACATATGCATATTAAGAGTCCCAGAAGGAAGGAAAAGTGAAAAAGGGACAGAAAAAAATATTTGAAGAAATAATGACTAGTAAGATAACCGGCAAAGCCTCTTACAACAAAACACCTAAACTGATACCTTAGCATAAAAGTAGTCCTAGATCCGCCTGGGCAACTTGGCGAGACCTCATCACTACAATAAATCAAAAAATTAGCCGGGTGTGGTAGCGCACGCCTGTAGTTCCAGCTGCTTGGAAAGCTGAGCAGGAGGATCACCGGAGCCCAGCAGGTCGAGGCTGCAGTGGCCAGGAGAGTCCCATTGCACTCCAGTCTGGGCGACAAAGTGAGACTCCAACTCAAAAAAAAAAAAAAAAAAAGGTAGTCCTAGAGAGGAAAAAAGATAAAGAGGGGAGAAAAGTAGGATAGCAAGATAAACAGAAAGCACAAAAGAATTAAAATACGTATTAATATTTATCAATAGTTGCTATAAATAAGACTAAACTCACCAGTTAAAAGAAAGATTTCCAAATGAATGTCTAAAAACCCAGCAATTCTACACATAGGTGTTCATCCAAAAGAAATAAAAATATTTGTCTACAAAAGTTTATACACTAATGTTCACAGCAGCTTGATTCAAAATCCAGTCAAAACCTGGCAACAATCCAAATGTTCACTTAGAACAGATAAGCAGTGTAACCATACAACGACTACTCAGCAATAAAAAGGAGCAAACTACTGATATAGAAACACAAAGGAATTTCAAAACCATTTTATAAAGCAAAAGTAACCACACACAAAAATGCATACTATATTATTTTATTTTTATGCAAACCAAGAAAAAGCAAATTAATATATATTGTTAGAAAACAAACTGGTTTGCCTGGGGCTGGGGTGAAGTGAGAGAAACTGACAGAAAGCAGGTACAAGAAAACCACTAGGAGTGAATAACTATTCTACATCTTGATTGTGGTCCTAGTCATGCAGGTATACACATTACCAAAATTCATTAAGCTGAACATTTTAAATAGGTACATTTCATTGTATGTAAATTTGACTTTTAAAAAGTTTATTTTAAAAAACTGCTCTAGCCTAATTCTTGTTTATAAAAGCAACATGCCTAAAATATAAGGTTGAAATTAAATAAAGGAAGGAAAAAAAGGCCTAGCTCGTATTAATAACCAAAAGAAATCTAGTATTGTTATATATTAATATCAGATGAATAGGTTTTAACTCAAAAGGCTTTACTATGTATAAAGAGGATCGCCAAAAAAGATAATAAAATAACCATGTAATCAGTAAGAGACTAGATTTTGTTGCTGTATTGTAACCCAGTGATAAAAATACATACTCATGTACATCATGTACATACATATGATAGACTTTTAAAAAACGCCATACACTAGGCATACAGTACTTGTCAATAATGTTCATATATTTTGTTCTACAAAGTCCATGTTCTATAACAATAAGCCAACTTTGCTGAAAATAAGTAACAAAACTATAACCTCCAAAAAACTAAATTGTGAGTGACATTAAAAACAAGTACTTCTTTGGTCCATGTGATACATAGACTCCCATGAATATTAGAAAATATTTACAACTGAGTTATAATTAACATACTGCTAACCGAAATCTGTGGAATGTAGCTAAGGAAGTACTTAGAGGTAAACTTATCATTAAAGACTTATAGAAAAGATAAAATATCAATGAGCTAACAGTTCAACTTAATTTAGAAAAAGGACAGAAAAAAAAACAGTACATTAGTGAATTATAAAACAAAGATATAATAAAGATCCACCAGCTAAAATCTAGTTCTTCAAAAAGATTAAAATAACTGAAGACCTTTTGACAATACTGGTCAAGAAAAAGAACCAAATACATAAGCACATATTATTAATGAAAAAGAGGATTAATTACCGAAATAGAGCTTTTAGGCGAGTGTATATGCTGGGCAGAGATTATCACAGATCATTACATCTTTGGTAATAACCATTCATTTATACTTACCGCCAACAGAAGACACATTTATTTGCGCATGCCAAGCTCGGGGTGGTTTCCATGCAGCGATGGCTTTCGATTCCATAGAATGTGTGTTTATAGCAACCTCCTCTCCCTCGGAGCATTGACTATGACAAGTAAGCAAATTATAAGTTATAATTTGAATAAAATAGTCAAAGCATAGAAACAAAACATCAAGGCATCATTTACAAGAAGAAACCATGTGTTTTATAACTGTAAATACTCCTGATAATTGCATGATGCAGAAAATTAACATTATAGCATTATAGTGTTTTGAAAGTGCTTTGGATTTTTTCTAAAATCCAATAAAATAAACCTATGATTCATTAACTCTGACAGCTTTACAGGGAGGATCATAGATGTTTTCATTTTCAAATCCACACAACTGTCCCACATAATATTAGAACAATAATATATAATGCAAGGGCTAGATAAGACAGGCTCCTAAAAATCAAGCTGTACATTCATATACAAGTCTTCATATACAACAGTAGCCCTGCTCTGAATAAAGGGGACTGGATGAGGGAATGCATCCTGTAGGACATTCCTTTTTTTTTTTTTTTTTTGAGTTGGAATCTCACTCTGTCACCCAGGCTGGAGTGCAGTAGCACACTCATGGCCACCACAGCCTTGACCTGCTGGGCTCAGGCAATCCTTCAGCCTTCCAAGTAGCTGGAACTACAGGTGCACACCACCATGCTCTGCTAATTTTTTGATTTACTGTAGACATAAGGTCTTGTTAATTTGCCCAGGCTGGACTCAAACCTCTGAGCTCAAACTTCTCACCTCCACAAAGTGCTGGGATTGCAGGCATGAGCCACCATACCCAGGTATGTCAACTGAATAAATATGTAGGATTTGAACATATTTGAGACAAGTGAGGGGGAAAGCAGAGATATGTAAGAAACAGATTATTCCCCAAAAGACCACCCATTTAATGTGAGGCATAAAACCTCATATGAGTCACATAAATCAGTAAGTAAGCCGGGCTCGGTGGCT